TAAAGTCAGAACATCCAGACTTTGGAGACAAGATTGCTGCTCTGGAGGCTGGTCAGTCAGAGATAAAATCCTGGATGGCTAAGCAAGATAAGAAGTCTGAGGATATGACAGAATGGATGTCAAAACAAGATGAAAAGAATGAGACCATGACTAAGTGGATGTCAAAGCAAGAGCAATCCTCATCTGAGATTACAGATCTATTGAAGATGCTTTTGTCCAAACACTCTTAGATTTTTTTTCTCATTCTAATGTTTTTGCATCTGTTGTTTGCATCTGAACTTTATTGCTATATCTTCTGATGTTTACCTATGTACTCTTGCTCTGTTATTTTGAATGAATCAGTTTTCTCCATTGAATTATCTTATTTATTGTTCCTTTTATTTGTCTTTTTAAAAGTTTTTACTTTTTGCTTATGACAAAAAAGGGGGAGAAAATAAAGATCTGAACTGTTTAATATAACTTCACCAGAATGAATCTTCAGACATTTCCTTTTTATCTAATATTTAAATTGACTATTTCAGAACATTTGATAAGAACACTCTATAAAAGAATCTCTGAGTCTCTCAGATCACTTGTCCTTTATCAAACTCTGAATCTTATATCTGCAAGATATTCTGACCCTAAAATGTTATAAGAACAAACAAGATCTAACTCTGAAGATTACTCAAGACAAAAGGGAAGTTTCTATTTCTTTTTCATATTTAACTCAGGGGGAGATTCATCATCTCAGGGAGAGTTATAATTCTTTATGTTCAGTTAAATAAAATTTCTGATACTTTTTGTCATCATCAAAAAGGGGGAGATTGTTAGAACACAGATTGGTTCTTAATAATAACTCTTTGTTTTGATGATAACTGTTAGGAAATTTATATTTAAGAATTATATACTCTAAAATTTGTTTGAGAGTTTTACTGCAGATTGAATTAAAATTAACTCTCTAGAAGCAAATCTGTTTTGAATACAAGAAGTTATCCTGACTCTGAAGCGCCAGATGCATCTTACAGAAGAATCTGATTGCTCCTTACAGAAGATCCTGAGCGTAGTCTCCAGAAGGATCTGAAGCAAGAAGCTCCAGAACATTCTGAGTCAGAAGCATCTGAAGATAGTCAGAAGCATCTGAAGCTGAAGCATCTGTAGCATAGAAGAATATTGATTGAAGAGTTTCTCAAAGCATAATTCTACAGAAGTTTCTGAAAGTACCAACGCTGTCAAGTACAGAAGTTCTGTGTCAAATATGCTCTGATGATCAACACGCTGAAAGCACACCTGCTGCAGAAGACTCTGATATAGCAAAGTTCTGAATTTCATTAGAAGACTCTGATCCATTCAGACTCTGAAGAACTTGCTGAAATCTGAAGAAGAAATTTTCAAGAATATATCCGTTGGAGCTATTCAACGTCTCTTTCCTCATTTGTGCTAGACACACTTACACAGACAAAAAGGATTTTTCTGTGCCATCTACTTCTAGGAAAGGTCACTGAATGTGAAGACAAAAAGGCTCAGACCTTTTTGGGACTCTCTTTTCAACGCTCAGCTTCCTTGGATCAGCTGCCTATAAAAGGAGAACTTCACCACATTCTTCAGTTACACAATTTGCTGAAAAGAAATCATATTATTCTAAGCTCTCATTATTTCATATTCTTCTTAGAATCTTATTGTACTTAAACTTAAGAGAAAAATCACTGTTGTGATAAAAGCTTTATAGAAGCATTAATACTCTTGTATTTAATTTACTTTGATTGTAAAGGTTTTTCCTTAAGAGGATTCAGTTGGAATCAGTAGCTCTTGAGAAGACTAAGAACTGTTGTTCTTAGGTGTTACTATTGTAATCAGTTTGATTTAATAGTGGATTAAGTCCTTGTTGAGAAAGGCAAATCACTCTAGGAAGGGTGGACTGGAGTAGTTGTTTAAACGAACCAGGATAAAAATAATTGTGTGATTATCTTTCAAGTCTTAATCTTTCATACTTATTCAACCCCCCCCCCCCCCCCCTTCTAAGTATTATCTCACCTTCATATCATTCAACATCATAAAAACCATAAATTTCAGGTAAATTTTCAAGTTTTTGGATAAATTTTTTAGTTTTGGTATAAATGTGTATAAATCAATTATTAGGGTTAGAAATGTGAAGGAATCACATGTAACATAGTTTAGACTTAGTGTATGACTTGTTTGTTGGCTCAAAATGACTATCAGATCATGTTTTTTCAACTTGCATGAGCCTTATTACGCCATTGGCGTGACCTTTGATTTGTAAAACTTTCTGGAGATACACCTCCACAATAGTTCAGTGTTTCATATACTTTAGGAATTTCCGAAGATGCATCTCCGGAACTATTTAAATTTAATAGTTTTATGGTATTTCCAGAGATGCATTTTCAGAATTATTCAAAGTTATTATTTTATGGTGTTTCTGGAGATACATCTCCGAAATTTCCTGTAGTTTGTTGTTTTTATAAATTTTATTGTTTGTGTATTTTGTTTGTGTGCACTAATGATATGTATTACTTTACCTCACATGCATTATGGATGACATAGTCGATAGACTGAAACATGGCAGCAGGTACCTCTTGTCAGGAAGAGGCGTTGACTTCTGGGGATCATGTTTCACCTCAAGCCACTCAATCTCAAGTCGTTTCACCTTCTTCTTCTTTCCATAGGAGACGGGAATCACCATCTGACGAATCACTCCTCTTATCCTCCTGCAGGCATTAGGATTCACCAGGTGGAGCTACGTCGATGGATACATAAGGTAGTTCTTCAGGGTGTCACATCCGTACATGGTGCAGACTGCTTCAGGAGATCCGTCGAGATCAGCTAATCAGAAGATACTAGAGGAGGAGCAGTCTCAACTAAATCATACTAATGATGTTTTGCCTCAGTGTCGCCGCATAGTGTAGATTGCGCAGACAGACATTGACGGGGGTATCTTCCCTGAGGGGTCTGTTGTCAAGCGAGTCTTGGATGCCATGGTGGCAGAGGCATAAGGAGCACTGTTGTACTAGAGACATCGTCGGAGGACGGAGGATTGATGACAGAGAGGCAGGGGAGACATAGGTAGGGATGGCAACGGGGCGGGGGTTGGTTTAACTATACCAGCACCCGCACCCGCCTCCATGTAACACACCTACCCCTGCCCCCAAACTCAACTGGGGGTAAAAATTTACCGTCCAGACCCGCCTCCAGTGGAGAACGGGTGCACCCACATCCCCCGCAAAAAAAAAATAATTTCTTTTTAATTGCAATAAAAATTAATAATTTAATTTAAAAAATTGATTATTTTAATAAATTAATTAATTATTTAATTAAAATTTTAATTAGTAAAAAAATATTAACTTGATTAATTTAATTATTTTAATTGCGATAAGGATATTAATAATTTAATTAAAAATATAATTCATAAATGAATATTAAAATAAATAAAATAAGGGAATTAAACTAAAACGCATTATACGGGGGCAGGGACGGGCGGATCTTAATGTCTCCCCGTACCCACACTCGTAGTTAAGAGCTGGGTTTTCCCCGCACCCGCACCCAATTAAATCAAATTTTTTTCATTAACTTCGGGGTGGGTCCGGGAGAGTGCGTGTTTGTTTGTCATCCTTAGACATAGGAGATGTTGTCAGACACACCCAGTAGTAGTCTGTTATTATTTTGTTGTATTACTATACTCTCTACTTTACTTTTACGGTTTTATCACATTTTGCATTTCGATTGTACGATATTTTCTACATATGTTGTTATACTTGATCCAGTATTAGTCTCTTATTATTTTGTACGTCTATTTTTTATTTTGGATCGTGTGTTATACTTCATCTAAAAACAAATACACAACTAATAGTAAAAAAACATTTGTTCTGATACACTTCGGAGATGTATCTCCGGAAAACTGTCGGATATGCATCTCTGAATCAATTCATATGTAAATAGTGTATGAGTAACATGTTTTGAATGTTTAAAATGGTTTCGGAGATGTATCTCCAGAATGTGTCAACGTTTATTCAAAAAAAAGGTACGTACGAAGATATATCTCCAAAATCATGAGACATATGTGAAAACTTACATGGTGCATAAGAACCATCTAGGATGTAATAAGAAATTCTATAAAAAAAATCTCATATGCTCTAAGAAAAACACCTCACTAAATAATACTCCCTCCATCTAAAATTATAGGACGTTTTGGACATTTTATACGAATTAAGAAACTTAATTATTACTTTATGAGAAAGCTAAATTATGTATGATTTTATACTTATAATTATATAAAAAAGAGAAATTAAAAGAGTTAAAAAAATAAATAATAATAAATACTTGAAGGTATATTGAAAAAATAAATTAATATTACATTGAAAATTTAAAATAACTTATAATTTGATATAAACATTTTTTTACAAAATCACTTATAATTTAGAATAAAGGGAATATTGGGCTTTATATTAATGCCTTGGCTCGTGCTCGTGTCATACCCTTTCTTTGATTACTTGATTGATAGGAAAACAAAAAGAAAGAAGAGAATTTGTTTCTGTCACTCTCCTCATGTCGATTATTTCCTTTCTAGCTATGCGAATATTTTCTTTGAATGAAAAGAGGATATTACTCCAAAGTTTGATTGAATACATATTCATCATCCTTTCATTAATTTTATTTTTATTTATTTTCAAAATTATTAATCACTTCATATATTATTTAAATAGGAAAAGTTAATATTCACCATCATTTGGCCTATTTCATAGACACTATAGTCACGTTATTGTGTGAGTTGGTTTATACCCTGCTTTTCTTGCACCCATATCAAAAGAATCCAACACTGAGAAAGAAAGAGAAAAAGTACACTAAAGTATATTAAAGTTTATTTTGCACATTTTGTATAAAACAAGCTTTTCCCACCATTGTGTTGAAATATATCTGATTTCACATCTACATCTCTTCCTCTCTCTTAGTTAGTTAAGCACTTGGCAAAGAAAATCACACTAGAAACAAAGAAATTAATTCTACCAGAAATGGCTAGAGAAGCAGCCATTTTTCTATGTTTTTTGATTGTTGTTATGGATGTCACAGCTGGAATTCTTGGAATTGAGGCTGAAATTGCTCAAAACAAGGTATGTTTGAATCAAACTAATCAAGTATTTAATTCTATTGGTGTTGTTCTTCGATCAGAGTATATCATATTTGAAGAACAACATTGATAGTTTTTATGAAAATGTACCTAAGGTTTTTTCTCGAGAGACAATTTTTGTTGCAATATGACAATATATTTAGATGTGTACTAATTTTTTACACAAACAGGTTAAACACTTGAGATTGTGGATATTTGAGTGTAGAGATCCAAGCCATAAGGCTTTCATGCTTGGGTTAGGTGCAGCAATACTTTTGTCTCTAGCCCATGTTATAGCCAATTTGCTAGGTGGTTGCAATTGTCTTTGTTCTCAAGAAGAGCTTCAAAAGACTTCACCCAATAGACAACTCTCAATGGCTTGCCTCATTTTAACATGGTAACATGTCCCTGACTCCACTACTTGTTTTCTTACGACGGTTCAACTGGTTGAACCGAAAGCAGCATTCTTGAACTATTGTCAGTTCAATGTTTGGTTTAGTTTTTGAAACAATGGGTTCAAAGCGAAAAAAGGGTAACATATAACACTAAGAAGAGTTCACGAAATCTATAAATAACATTTGTTTTGATTGTGTTGTTGATCAGGATTGTTTTGGCTGTTGGATTGAGCATGCTTGTGATAGGGACTGCAACAAACAACAAATCAAGGGGTTCTTGTGGTTTCACACACCATCATTTCTTATCAATTGGTGGAATTTTGTGTTTTGTTCATGGCTTATTCTGTGTTGCTTATTACGTTTCTGCCACTGCCTCTTAATTAACGATTAAGAAAACACCTAGAGTGGAGACCACTTTTGCTCTTGCTTTTGTGCTTTAGGGGTTTTGGCTTTACCAAATTTATTGCTTTACTAAATATGTACTATGGGGTAGAAAAAGAAAACCCCATTTTCAATTGATCACCAAACTATCCTTTCCACTCATCCACTGACACGTGTTCTATATTTTCTTCTTTTTTCAAAGCCATTGGCCAATGAAAGATTTTCTGTTACCAGAGATTGTAATGGTTTCAGAAATAGGCTACATAAAGCTAAATGTATCTTTCTACTTTCTTTAAACACTATGATGGTAATGTTCAAAGTTGGATTATTAGCTAATTGTAGATGTCTCACTAACATTGATCACCAATAATTTAAAATATAGCATTTCCTTGAGTAACAAGTAATAACTCGTAAGTCATAACATCTATGATATACCCTTTCGAAGTAAACAAAGGTATCAAGATTTTCCCTCCAAACTAATGATTAAATAGAGAGGAACGTCGGAAAAAAAAACTATCTCAATTACTGTTATGCATTCCATTGCCTTCACGATTTCTCCATTAACTCGGATCCAAAATAGTACAGATCAAACTAATGGATGAGAAAAGAAACAATAAAAAACAATCTCTCCCCGCCGTAAGTCCTAACAACCCCTTTTTTGGGGTTGATAAGAGAACCTCACTTGTTGTTCACATTTTGATGAGGAACACCATATAGTTGACCTCCAGTAATCTCCATTGCTCACCACTAGTCACATAGACAGAGTACACGTCCCTTCCGTAGCATTATAAGACATACATTTCGGCAAAATTTGGGACCCGGCCCTCTGATTCACTTTGACTTTAAAGGCAGTAAAATCTGCCGTGTGATGAAATAGAGAACACATTGACAAGTCAAACTCACTTGCATAACTTCATATCAAAGCTACGTTGGTAACATCTCATCATCATCATCATCATCGGAGGACGAGGAACTAGAGTCATGCATTCTCCTCTCTGCTATGGCTGGAAATAGTCTCCTATGCATATCAGAGAGTGATTGTTTATGAGAATCTGGAGAGGATGAAGGAGCCTCTTTCTTGCTAGAAGTAGAACCTTTGGCAGCTAATGTCTTCGTTGTCGATGCTTGTACCTCTTTGCACACTTTGTCCAACATTACCAAGAAATCACGTACAATCACAAACAAACGCAACCCTTCATCTTTTCCGGAATTCCCATGAAAATAATCTGCAGTACTCTTAATCCCGGTCCTTATCCTCTTCTCTTCCCCTATTAACCATACCACTTCCTCTCTTGCCTTCTCCACAAAAATTGCAAGGGAACGTTGAAACTCGCTATCTTCTTCTAGATTCTTCATATCCTTATTCAACAGTTCTTCAGATTTTACCAATCTATTATAAAGTTTCAACACTGTAGATGCTAGAGCATCACCATCTATCACTGCTGCCTTTTTCACATCTTCTAGTTCAGTGCTTAGGCCTGAAACAACTTGAAGGCCAAGGTTGCGATAGTGCTCTTCTGATTCCCCCTTTGATTCATCGATGAAATCCTCGGTTTTCATACTAGCATGGCTTTGGCTTGCTTTTTCTGTTCTTACAGCTCTTATGCCCTCTGAACGAATGATCTCATGAACCATAAAGTGTAACAGTGTGGTCTTACCATCTGTTCCTTTTACATCTGCCAGTTTCAAAAGTGTGTCAAGCTTAAATGCTTGAGCACCACCACGATAGGTTCCATTGTTCAATCGATTTCCAGTCTTTAGAACTGCTTCTAATAGCTTTTGGAAAACCCTGCTTTTCCTTAGTTTGTTGCAAGAAACCTGCCATTAAGATCAGATGCAACAACAGCAAGAACTGTACTATAACGATATGTGAATTGTATAACATTCAAAATAGATTGGTATTTCAAAAAGTAAAAGAAAGAAAGAAAAGTCAATGTATCCAATTCTCACATCTAATATTGTAAAGCATTCCCTAAGGTTTGAAGCCTCTTCCGGAAGTGTAAACATGAATAGTAGTGACTCAAGACGTTTGAAAGCCAGTGGAATATCAACCAAGGCCTTGAGAAACCTCTCTGCAGAGCTAAGTCGAGAAACGTCATCCGTGAATAACCTTAGCTTCAATTCCTCATCTGTTGTTGGCGCCATCTTCAATACTGTTTGGATGAGCTCAACGGGAATCTCATTACCTAATTGAATCAGCATATTGCAAGTAAATCACATTGATGTAGTTATATGTCAATGTTAATCTAAGAGAAATGTTGAAAACTAATATCGCTTTTGATTTTTGAATGCAAAAATGGATGAAGAAGAATCATAATTGAAAGAAGCACCTTTATCATTCTAAGTGCAATCTATGTAAAAGCTCCAATACATTCACCAAATCATCAACAGGGTAAGAGTTTATCATGTTCTTGGTACAGATTAAAAAAAAGAACAAATGACTATTCCTAGGAATAAACGTACAAATGTCAAAATGAACAGCATATAGTGTTAAGTTAAACCCTAATGATTACTGTCAAACTTTAAATAGGAGCTTTTTTTGTGTGAGGCTGTTCTATGAAATTGGAAGATAATATCTTATCATAAACATGTTGTATGAAAGAGAGAAAAAATCGTGAAATAAGTAGGTACAAACTTTGAAAGAGAAAAAACTATACACTTGAGGAAAAAAAAACTACTTCATTGGAGTTAAAGCATCAATGTTGGTAACAATTATTTTATGATAGTTTAAAGTAGCATGTGCTTCATTCTAATTGCGAGAAGCAAACACACACACACAGACTCACCTTCTTTAATGGCGTCAATAACTTCTTTTGTGCTCACATTCAAAGCACGTAAAAGAATTGATAAATTCTGAGCTTTCTTGGGGTCAATAATCTGAATGTACTGGACAGAAGGTTCTAAAGATGAAGAATCTTTTTTTCTTTCATTTCTGTTGGCGCAGCCAAATAAAGACTCTATCTTTTCTTCACTGAACCTGGTAAGATGTTAAAAAGTTCGGCAATCATATTGATAAATTTTACAACCTTTAATGAAAAAATGATTTTAACAGGACTTAAATGTTTCTTACTGGAATGACCCTGCTCTGATCTCATGCCAGACCATGGCTTGATCAGGACTTGCTACAACCTTATCCCAGAAAAATGGCTTTAACTTCGGTTTTGGAGCACCAGACTCATCATCATCACTAGCACGAGGTGGTCCTAGAGGTGATTTAAGGTTTTGACCTTCCATTAATTTGGGAGGAGCAGGTGGAGGCCGAACCATTCTTGGAGGAGGTGGAGGGCGAGGTGCAAGAGGAGGTGGTGGAGGTGGACTGCAAGGTGCAAGAGGAGGTGGTGGAGGCGGCGGCAGTGAAGCCTCAGGGGCTGATCTTCCTGAAGGGTGTTTTAATGGAGATACTGGTACTTGTCCTTTGTTATCCGATGATGCTATCTCAGCCAGTGAAGCATTGTTGTCTTCATGCTTATTGGACGAAGTCTTAACAGTAGAAGGATTCATTCCGTAGTTAATACCATATTCTTTCATATCATTATTTTCGAAACTCATAGACTGTTGTGAACTGCCTGAAATACAAAAGAAACATTTATTGAATAAAACTTGTAAACTTTAATGTTTCACTATCAATATAGGTTAGGTTAGCATAGAAAACCAAACAAACATACCACCAGACATGTCGCTTGAGGTTAATATGAGTAAAGGCCTGACATCTTTGTCAACTTTTTTGCGCTTCCTCACCTCGCGGCAGCATAACAAAAAGCCTATTAAGATTACAATTCCTGATGCAACTACAGCCATAACAATTTCTTTCTGATCAAAAGTAGCAAGAAGAGGAGGAGGAGGAGGAGGTGGTGATAAAAATGGCACAAACAATTTCGGGGGGAGTGCAAAATCATGAAACGAAAACTCGGGAGTTGGAGGTGAAGAAGTGGTTTGTGCTGCAACATGACTTTTCAGTTTTGGAGATGATTCAGAATCAGGGCTCGGTGGTGTCTGATTAATTAGTGACTCTGAAAGTAAATATTTATGTCCATCTGCTAAACCAAATAGTGACTCATAAAGTTTCTTCAACAAATGTCCCTCCTCTTCCGAAACAGGAATAGGATAATTTCTCTTTCTTAAGCAATCCAAAAAGTGTTGTCTCATATGGGGAGGTAGATATTTAAATCTCTTCCCGCTCGTCTCATCTAATAAATGCAAGTCAAATTCTTTGATGCCATAACTCCTCTCTATCACTTCTTTTCTACAATATCCCCACACCTGCTCTGCCTGTGTCACCTGATCAAACAAACTCAACTCATCCTACAACAAAATAATAACAAAACTTACATAATTGAACTAGTTCAACATTTGATCAACTAAATCTCGTACTTAGCTAGGCATATTTTCATTATATCAAGATTCTCAACAACCCGTAAATTGCATGGAGTGCAAGATAACGGTAATTATAGTAGACTTGACAAAATTCACACTAAATTCAACCTAGACATGCGAATTTGTCATGGAAAATTTGAGATTCAATTACTCCCCAACCACATATCACATAATATGTATGTAACTGTTGTAAATCCTACAAGAATAATACTCAAAGGTTTTAAAAAACAATCCGCGACCACGAAAGCGGTCGCAAGCTGCCGATACCGATGCTGCTATTCACTGTTTTTATGTTTTATGTTAAAGAGCTAATTGTGGTTAATGGTTAACTCACACCGCGACGATCGCAATCAGTATCGCAACATATGTACCAACCGAAATCGGGAAAGCCTTTAAGCGACCGTTATTTAAAACCTTGAATACCTATAACTGAATTTTGCTAAATTCTTATCAGTCTATTCAATATACATTAAGAATACTAATCAAAATTACTAATAAATCATAAATGAATCAAATAAAATTGAGAGGTATACTAAAAAATTATGATATACCTTTTCTCCATCATGATCCATTTTAAAATCCTCATGTTTCCATCTCTTCCTCTCTGAACCCCCATTGACGATAGCGCAAATAAGAATAACACAAACAACAACATAACCAGGTTTTGTCATTTCCATTCAATTCAACAAAAAAGCGTAATCTCCTATTCATCCCATTGAACTTCAATTTTTGTTTAAACTATCAATACCACGTGAATGCATGCACTTTTTACGTTTGAAATGATGATTATTGTTGATGAAAAATGATGATAACGGAATGTAGGTTATACCAGAAACCGAAGTATGATGAAAAGGGTTGAAAGACGTGAAATTCGTTGAGCGTTTTGTGAGGTGAATTTTTGTTGATAAAACAAAATAGATGAATGAGGTTGAGGTTGAAGTTGAAGAAGTTGTGTATTGTTGTTGTTGTTGTTGTTGTTGGAGGGAATGGGAGTCAGAGAGGAGGGAGAGAGAGAATTGGAAGGACGTGGGGAGAATGATGTGGGAAGATGGTATGCCCGCGCGATTAACATATCATGTCTTTTTTCTTTTCTTTTCTTTTGGGTCAAAAAGATAGATACTAGTAATATTTAGGTCAATTCTTATTTACCTTTATTTTATTTTGGACATAATTTTTATATTGGAGAATGGTTATTTTAAATGAATTTTACTAATTTTTTTTATATTATTTCATTTTTTAAAATTATTTAAATAATTCGTTTATATTTGTTAATGTTATGTTGTAATGAGTTTTTTCGTGATGTTTATTTTGTGTCCATATTTGAGGTTGAAGTAAGCACCTTTAAAGGATATGTTTGTGTCCAATTTGATGTTGTTAGATTCGGCCAAATTTTATGTTGCAGCAAGCCATATTTGTTACACTAACTAAAAATACTTAAAGGACATATTTATTAGACTAAAAGAGACTTCAATGACATGTGTTTTACAACTCAGTTTACTTTAAAGACAATGGATCTGAAAATTTGACAAAATATCATAAGAATTTTTTATTAAACATAAAAGACCAATTAACCAAAACAGTGATAAAGACTTAATATCCTCCATTAAACAAAACAAAATATATATAAAGTATTCATTCAAAATATATAGTAGTCATCCAAAACATATTGTTCTGGATTGGGTCAGAGGTTGCCCCATCGTCAGACACTGTCCAACCCAACTCCCTGTCAGGGAGGGTCCAATGAAGGACCAATTCATCATCTCACACGGGGAGCTCTCACGCGTCTTCCCCACGGTCTTTACGTGCTTTCTACGTGGGAACACGTCATTAGTCAACTATCCGCGTCCGATAGAACAAGTCATCCACCTTCCGAAGTTCACGGGACAGTTAGACCAGGATGAAGACCACACGCTGGTCTTCCCTACGCCACGTCGATCCTAGAAATTATTCGTATTGGGCCTAATGATCCAACCCAATGCAAATAATTGTTGGTTCAGCGTTTGGGGCACATTATAAATACTTTATTTCACTATAGGATTAGGTATTTTATTCTCTACGCTTTTTGTACTTGCTTTCTCTCTCCCGCTGAAACTTACTTTAGCATCGAAGTGCCTTGCAAGTACACCCCCACCTCTTCTCCAACACCGTCGAACTAGGAGCTCACGACACCTTGCTGGCTGCTGATCTCTTTCTGGTCTGATAAGATCACATATAATCATAATCCAAAATATACATTTCTAAGTCAGCAACATAACATCCTAAAAACAAAAACACCATCCAAAATACATGATCCTAGTTTATCAAAATACAATAGACAACATCCTAATGGTTTTTTTTCTCTTTATGGACAACTTAGGTGTGGTTCTCCTTGGTGGCTGAAATGTTGTAGTTGGTCCCTCAAATGTTATAGTGTCTCTTCTTGGTGATACCCTTGTTTGGAATGTAGGGGCTGGCCCCTGAAATGTTACAGTGCCTCTTCTTGGTGATACCCTTGTTTGGAGTGCATGGGTTGGTTGTGTTTGGCTTTGTGCAACTTGGTTTTGGTTCCTTTCTTGGTCCTGTTACACAAACCCAACTGATTGTTCACATACACTTATTCGTCTAGAGGGTCATTCAGGAATGCACATTTCACGTTCATCTGACATATTGACCAATTATGCATATTTTCAGGACCAACAACTAACCTGATTGTATCCATTCTAGCTATTGGTGCAAAGACTTAATCATAGTTGATTCCTTCTTTCTGAAGAAACCCTTTCGCTACAAGTTTTGCCTTGCGTTGGACCACTTAACCTTTTGGATTCAACTTGATTTTGTATACCCACTTCACATTAATTACCTTCTTCCCTTTTGGAAATTCAACTAATGACCAGATATCGTTTTCTTCTTTGGATTTTATCTCATCCACCATAGCTTTTATCCACCTTGAGTCTTTCAATCCTTTAGCTGCATTGACTGGCTGGCTCACTATCTGCATAAAAGGCATAAAATACTAACTCACCTTCATCATCGACCACATCATCTAATGTGATTACACATTCTTGCAGTCTTGCAGGTCTGTTTCTTGTTTTTTGTGGTCTTCTTGTGCTAGCTTGACTTTCAACAGCTTCTTGTCGAACTTCTCAAACAGCTTGTCAAACTTCTCTACCAGTTTGTCAAACTTCTCTACCAGCTTCACTAGCTGTTCATCACACAGGATTCTCATTGAGCCCTTCTTGATGTTCTTAGTCCAGTCTCACTCCTTAAGCTCATCTACGATCACAACCCTGTTGATCACGACTTGCTTGTTCATTAGGTCGAAAAGTTTGTATCCACCACTTGAATGATATCCCACTAGGATCATTTGACTCGACTTTCATCAAACTTTCTTCTTAGCTGACCTGGAACATGTCTATGTATTATAGATATATACACTTTCAAATAACTTAAGCTAGGTTTGACACCATATCAACATTCTTCCGATATGACACCTTTAAGCCTCTTTGTTGGACATCTGATTAATATGTATGTTGTGGTCGACACAATCTCACCCCATAGCTCATTTGGATCATGCTTTCCATTCAACATACTTCTCACCATATTCACAACGGTTATGTTCTTTGTTTCAGCAGTACCATTTTGTTAAGGAGTGTATGGTAGCACCACCTCATGCACAATTCTTTCTTTTGTACATAATGCGTCGAAATCTTTCGACATGTACTTTTCACCTCCATAAGTCCTTAGAACTTTAATCTTGTGACCACTCTGTCTTTTGACCATTGCTTTGAACTTAGTGAACTGCGTCGAAATAATTATTTTCAATATATGTTTTAAAATAAATTATCTCCAATATATGTCATATATTTTAAAACAAAACAATGTACTTATTATATTATTATCATGTGTGCTAGCTGAAAAGAAAGACTGCATGCATTTTCCAAACTAAAATTGTTGGAATACATATTAATATTATTACTTGTGTTGATCCTTTTTGGAATAAGGAAACCACATATTAGAACAATATTTAACCAATTTTCACACGTGAGTGGGCGACATGAGAGGAGATGTTCATCTCATTCACCCAAACAAAGAAAAATGGATGACTTGATCCGTTTTTGAACCCGGTTTAATTTTCACTCATTTCGAAAAGCAAGACGATAATTTTATATCCTTTTTAATCATTATTCAAAAACAAAATGATCTCATACGTTAACTTCAAGAATCAGTGATAAAATATTAAAAACCAAAAGTTTAAAATTCTTAACTAAAAAATGAAATGAAATGTGATTTCTCAATGAATACTAAACAAAAATCCTTAATCTTTTAGTATGTTGTTCGCACAGTCATTGACAAAAAAATCGTTCAAAAAACTTTATTAAATTATTTTAGAAATGATCGATTTGATCTTACAGGTTTCTCATTAAAAAAATTTATCGTATTTGTCATTACATAACACATCATCTATCTTTAACACAACACAAGTATACTAGTACTTCCAAATTTCATAATCACAAATAGTCATACAACATATCTATTTGTCTCTGATATTGATTGATGAAATATTTACCGTATAACTAAAATCATAGATATAATTATACTACATATCGTAATATAAACAATGCGATAAATGTGCCTTAAAACCTTTTTTGATGAAGAGAAAAAAAAACATATTTTGGAGATTGTATTTACCGTGAAAATCGGAAGTTTTAGAAAATCGAAAAAAAAATATGTCGGTGAATAATGCTATTCGTACGGATGAATAATGTGTCTGTATGATGAATAGTATTTTCGAGTTTTCGGGTTTTTTCGATTCGGCCTATGAATCCATGTGATTTTGCGCTTTGTTTGTTGGGTATTTGCTATTATAAATATGCATCTCTTATATGTTTAGTGTGTAACAATCTTAAAGTTTTCACCAACAAGGGAGATCAAGGGTTTAAAGTATAACATAGAGTTGTTCTTGGGCGCCTTCAGAGTTGTGCTTGGGAACCTGAAGGTAAAGGCAAAGACTATTTACTTATAACTCATCTGTAATTAGGGATGCTCAAATTAACCGGTTTGATGGTTTATCCATAACCATATCCGAATCCAATTTTCAAAAACCGGTTAATTTTATTTTGGTTTTTCAACCAATCCATTTTTAAAATTAGTTGGACACCCACATCCAATTGAATGGATAACCACAACCAAATAAAAATCCATAAGAAGCCCCAATTGCAATTTTCAGTTCTTCTCTCTTAATTGATGTATTCTTTCTTCTTTTTTCAATCTCATTGGAAAACCCAAACATAAACGATAATCCTCATTTTCAACTCAGGTAAATGCATTTACATTCCATTTTCGATTATCATGAATTGCAGAACCTTGATTATTAGTTCCAAAAAGTTCCAAAAAATTCAGCTACTGTACTCTTTCTCATTTGAATTCATATGTTATAAATATTCATGTTATAGGAAAACATAGAAATGTTTAATATATGCACTCACAAGCTGTTTGTGAAAATGCCTCAATGAAGTTCATAAATGTATTGTGTTTGATTAAGACTGTTGTTAACCACATTGCTTTTTGAGTTTAGAGGTATTGATCTATATATGCTACCATATTAATTCATCAATATGTTACTAATATTATTCTATAGTTTGCCCCATGTTCTGCAACCAGATTGACATGCTGCAACTACTTTTTAGTCTGCAACCAT